AAGGGCACTGTTACCAAGCCAGCTGCTGAAGGCTAGGGATGCAGACTGTGTGTGGAGGGATTGTTTAATGGAAACTTCAACATTTTGCTACTGCTGGCAGTATATATAGATGTTTATAACAAGTGCGTAGAGCTGAAATTCAGTCAGCAGGGCTCAGAATTTTATTCCTACAGTGTCTTCTCTGTCCTCTGAGACTGGAGTCTGACAAAGTATACTGGTTGCAGTGTCCTTTGGGAAATGCCATTCATTGGTGACTTTCGGAACTCATTTCACAATGAAAGGCAAGTACGGCCTTTTTCTATATCTAGGTTAAATAAGCTTCACCTTTTTGCCCCTGAAATTGCTTCTACTATGTCTTTTCTGTGACAGTGAGCCTGACCCTTCCTCTCACTTTGAGACAGGGAGACAACACATAACCTGGTGCATACAGAGGCTGCCACCCAGGCTAAGGACATTTCTGAAGGACATACCTCAATTCTATCCAGAGATCCTTGTGGCAGCAATTCAGCAGTGAAGGCTTGGAGTGGAAAGTCTATCAGCTTGTGCTGATACTCTCATAAGCGTTGTCCCCCAGTACATATGGACTCCCATGAAAAACACTGTTTGGGGAGTTTCCACTTGTATACTTTTCAACAAAATTTCTAGCTTCACCTTGTCTCTTTTTACAGTCCTGAGACCAATCACTCATACAGAATTAAATCTGCTGTTATACTCTCTGGTACTGAATTATCCATACAGGCTGCTATCCTCACTTTGCTTCTTTCAGTTTTTTTGAAAGCCTGTTCTGTGGTCCATGCTCACTCAGACCCTGCACATTTCATAGCTTTATGCTCTCCTTCAAGGATGCCCAAGGGCATCTTTGCTTGTTTATTTTCTCTTTCATTCTTCTCTGCAGCTCAGATCAGCCTTGAAAGCAGTTTTCCTTATAGATCCCTTATATCAGCAAGGAAAATACCTTGGTGTGGTAAAGAACTTCTGTTCTCCATTTACTCCAAAGAAAATAAAGGGTTTGATTTCAGGTAGTGTAGGCTTCAGGATGATGATTCCACAACGTGTGGCTGAATCTATAAGGTGTGGTTACAAACCTCAACCTACAGTATGATCCAACCAACTTCAAATCCCCTCCAACTCCTGGAGCCTCCTAATCATTACTTGCTAGATGAGGTTAGCTGGCACCCATGATAGTGCCCAGGCTGTCCTTTCTGCTTGTTCTCCCTTCTATGTAAGTATAGCACTTCAAGGATCTCCCAAGAACCTGAAATACTTGAACAAAAATGCATTTCACCAGATCTAATTTTTGCATGTGTTTGACTTGCCCCGGTTTTCCACTTACATTCTTCATTAGCTGAAGAAGCTGGTTATGACTTCATCAGTAGAGCCTTATCATGGCCATGGCCATCTCCACCCACACCTAGTTTCTCTCTCAGTCCAGAACCTGTTGCAAACAGACCTCAATGTGACATGGGCTTCCCTCCCCCAGTTTCCTGCTTTACCTAACTTTGAAACTGTCCATCAGGAAGTGATCCATCTTACAGTCAATGGAATCCTTGCCAATGCGCTTCAGGAGGTCGTGATTGCTGCAGTCATATCCGCTGAAAACGCAGCCCCTGCAGATCAGCTTCCTCTACAGTGTACATCTGCTGACAGTCAGGATGAAGAAAGAGAAGGAAAAAAAAATCAAAACAAAAACAACCTTGCTTTGCAATAGGAAAAAATATAAATGCAAAGGCTTGGACTAAACATCTTCCCTTTCCTGTTTTGCTCAGGGCTCTCAGATCTGTTTTCTTTTAGTATCTTGCTCTCTGATTGCTAGACATTCTTCCTAGCTGGAGATCAGAAGAGGGGGAGAAGGAGGCTGAGAGGGGAGCACTTCTCCCGAGCAAGGGGTGGGCGTGGGCCGTGCGGGTGCTTTGCCGGGTGTGCACTCAGTGCTGTGGGCTGTTTTTACTGAAAGGTGTCCGGGTGTGGGGGCAGAGCTCTGGGCTCTCATGAGATGTGTCATGCTATCTCATTTTCTCCACTGAGCTGAATTCTGTAAGCAAGCTAATAAAACCAAGCTCCCATCTCTTGTATCAGAGAGCCTGGCAACCTTGGTAAATAATGCAAACAGATTATATAAACTGCTCTACATTAAAGAAATTATATCTGCTTATCATCACATGCATTTTTTGGGGATGGTTGAATACTCCCCACTGAAAGAAACACAGCAGTTAAAAAAATATCTGTCTAAGGAAATTCACTGTGGGTATGGATCACTGGCTAGCATAAGATAGAGAATGAGATAAAAAGGAGGAGATTTGGTAAGTGAAGGAATTCAAGCCTTCAGGGGTAAGAAGGGAATTAAACAAAGGCTGCATATATTTTGCCACCCACAGCACTCTGGAGCAGTGGTTAGGGATGAAGCAGACTACTAAAAATAAGTTCAAGAAAATTATAGGGCTGTATCCAGAGCAATGCTCTGAAAAACAGTAAAGAGGAACAAGTGATCTAAATCCCCCTGGCTTTCTGTCAGAGCAAACCTGGTCATTCCAGTGGATCTCTCTTCGAAACTGTGGGATCATAGGATTTTCCAGGAAACAATAATGAGGAAAGAGGTGAAGTCATAGGCTTCCAATTCTAATGATTTGATGGACATAGGAATGATCCTTGTATGTTTTACACTCCCCTTTTCCTTCCTGGAATAATTTTAAAATGATTCCTTTAACAAAGCGTGTTAATTTGAGAATTGAAATTGGAAATGATGCCAAACAAATGGCAGAGAGAGCTCACAGAATCCTCATGGAATGCTGGAGTGGTTTGGGTTGGAGGGGCCCTTAAGGATTGTCTAGTTCAGGGACACCTGCCCCAGGCAGGGACACCTGCCGCTGTGCCAGGTGGCTCCAAGCCCCGTCCAGCCCAGCCTTGGCCACTTCCAGGGATGGGGCAGCCACAGCTCCTCTGGGCAACCTGTGCCAGGGCCTCACCACCTCCCAGGGAAGAATTATCTCCTCAGGTCCAATCTTTGCCATTTTTCTGCAAGAAGTGGGCTGTGACAGGGGAATTGTCTCCAAGAAGGCCTAGGATCAGGGCAGGCTCTGCAGTGGGGACGACTGCTGCTGCTGGATGGGGAAAGGCACCTTCCCCCCCACTCCCAAAAAGCTGGGAAGGGATAACCTCTGCCTGCAGCTCCTGGAGTTGCTGTTGGCCCTGGGCTTTCTGTGCCACTCGTGGCCACGGGATGATGGCAGGATCACTCCAGCCTTGGGACAGACGGCCTGAAGGCCAGTCCCGGGGCCTGTGTGGGGCAGGCCGCTGCCCCTTGGCCCCTGAGCACGAGGGGGTGTGGAGTAGTGGAGGGAATGGATTGCCCGGGCTTTGGCAATCTGGCCCCCAAAAAGCCTAAGTGACCACTTCCAACAGGGAAACATTGAAGCAAGAGGTGCCAGAAAGAACTGGAGTTTCTGGAGAATAAAACCTGGAAGTATCACCCTGAAAATCCCCCTGGATCATCACTGGTCTGACTTCCACAGACCGGGTGCATTGGCCAGGAGTGTCCAGCCCTGCCGGAAGTGCGTTTGCCCACGATGTAATTTCCATTGGATGCTGGCAAAGCCCCTCTGGGTGAGCCCCGGTGCCTGGCATGAGCAGAGCAGGCTTCCAGGGCACTCATTGCAGGCGTTGTGTTGAAGGGAAGAGCAGGGGAGCCCTTCTCTGGCCCAGAGGAGCTGCAGTGTTTCCCTCTCTGGAAGAATAAGAAATAAAAAAATGAAACCCAAACGAGAAAGAAAAGAAAATGAAAAATAAAGAGAACAAACAATTAATGAAATAAAGAAGGAAATGTAAAATACAAAAGAAAATTAAAGAAAAAAATAAAAGCGAGCAAAGTAAAAAGGAAATAAAATGAAAAGTGAAATAAAAGAGAAAAACCTTTCTTGGGCACCCCGACCCGTAAATTGGGGGTCACCCCTAAAATGTGAGAAGGGGACCCCAAAACGTGGGTGGGAAAACCCCGGGGAGCCGAAAAAGCGGAGGGGGAGCCGCGTCACGTCAGGGCGGAGCCCCAGAAAAGCGGGTGAGGCGCGCGCAGGAAGAGAGCGAAGCCGGGTGGTGAGGCGGCGGTAGGGGGGCAGCCAAGGTGGCGACTTAGGCGCATGCGCAGTCACGAGCGAGACGACTGCGATCACGTGGTCATTAAGGGCGGCCAGGAGCGGGACCGGCGACGCATGCGCAGTGGCTCTCGTGCCGCTGCAGTGCTCCCTGCCCAACTTAAGGGTCGGTTCCCGCGGCACGACGGGACTCGTGGTCTCCCGTCTCTCCCGGGGTGTGTGCGGGGGGAATAACATGAAGATTTTCGAGGCGAAAGCGCAGAAATTAGTGAGGGACGTTCTCCGGGAGGCACCGGAAGTGAGAGCCGCCGGCCTGTTTTCGACGGCGCACCACCCAAGATGGCGCACTCCCGGACCGGAAGTCTTTCCTGCGAGGCCGCACAGAAAGGTGGCGGCGCCCTGACCGGAAGTCCTCCAAGGCCGTACACAAAGATGGCGGCCCCGGCCCGGAAATTCGCCGAGGCCACACTAAAGATGGCGCCGCCAGGACCGGAACTTAGCCGAGGCCACACTAAAGATGGCGGCGAGAGGCCCCCTTCCCTCGGAGAGGCGTCTATCCTGTTGCCTGACCCCCGCCCCGCGCCCGCAGCGCCGTCTCGCCGCGCTGTTTCCCGGTGCGGGGACAGGGCAGCGCGCTCGGCGGCGCCGGGCGCGGGCGGCAGGTTCGTGGGCGGCGGCAGGCACCGGCGCGGGCAGCCCGCCACGGGGCCGCGGCGCGCGGCGGAGGCGCGAGGACCCCAGGCAGACGGCGGGCCCCGCGCGCCGCCCGCCCGCCTCGTTCCGCCCCGCTCCCGCCCCGCTCGGTCCCGCCGTGCCCCGGAGATGCTGTCGGGGCTGCGCCGCCGCCTTCCCGCTCCGGAAGCGACCCACGGCGGCAGATCCGACGTCGGGCTCTCCAGGAGATCGTCCCCGGGGTAAGCGGGGCCCGGCGGGGGCGCGGCCGCTCTTCTGCCTCTCCCGCGGCCATCGGGGGCTGCAGGCAGGGGAAGCGACAGGCAAGTTTCTCGCCTCTGCGGAGAAACTCGCACCTGCGTGCCGCCGCCAGGAGAAGGGGCGGAGAGAGCGGCAGGCGACAGGGCCGGATTCGGATGTACCCTGCCATTGCAGTTCCCCGGGGAGGGTCTGTGCTGCCTCAGGGACCCTGTCTGTGCTGCCAGGAGAGAGAAATCCTTCAGGAAGCTGGGATGGAAACAGCAACTCTGTGAATTGCTCAGCTTTTCCTAGGTAAGGGCAGGTTTTAGGGAAGAAAGGCCCGGACTTGCGAAAGGCGCCGCGGGTCTTGCAAGGTGGGGGGGGCGCGGCTGCAGTGTTTTCCCGGCCGTGTCCGCCAGGCGGCGACTGCGAGGCCTCAGGGCCCGGCGGTCGGGGGGGGCTCGGAAGCGGCGCCCGCGGGGAGCTGCAGTGTTTTGTCACTCACGGGCTTCTCAGAGCTTAAATCCAGAGTTCGAGACGTCCTAAGGATGCCTTGTGATCGAGGGAGTGTGTTCCAGCTGAATTGAGCCGGCGTTCGGTGAATTTGGGCTTCTGCAGGTGAATTCAGTCTGGTGGTGTTTTTTTGTTCGTTTCCGTCCTCGGGACAGTGAACCAAATGTTCTTTTTCCCCTGGCCGTGGGCGCTCCGAGGAGACCAAAGGTCCAGAATTCTGCCGGTGACTTGGCTTGTGTTGCCAGTCCGATTCCCAGAATTGAACACGGGCAAAGATTCCTCCCGGACAAAAGATGCCAGCGCAGAAAGCTGTTTCTGCCCCGGGAGTGTCCAGGCTGGCCCACCCCCTGGCAATCTCTTAGTGAAAAGGCAGGGAACAACTGCGGTTGTTCTACCGTTTCTTTAGCCAGGTACTAGAACGCAGACAAAACCAAGGTTGTCTTGGACCTGTGCAAGGTCCAAGCGTTTTTCAGCCTTCCTTAGCAGGGCATTCTCACCCTCTGAAAAGCTTAAAGGCTTTAATATCTGGATACACACCTGCAGCTGTGCAAATTAATGTAGTTTCTTTTATGAAATGAAGATGAAGGTTTCCTGTTGTGAGCCTAAATACCAAGTATACTCTGCTTTTTCAATCAGGTGATGAAGCTTCTGGAAAAAAGACAAAATGCATCGAGGTGAGTACATTCTACCGATTTCTGCTTTTCTGGGATTAGTTTGGGAAAATCATGTGAAATTCTAAAAAGCTTCTCTCCATGTCTTCTAGTTGTTTTTTCAGCCTCGGTCTAAGTTTCATGTAGAAAAGGGCATAGAATTAGAACAGATAAACTAGACTTTCTTGGGAGAGATGGAAGAAAAGTCTGCTGATTACAGTTCTGCTTTTCTTGTCTTCCATTAGACTGTCATTGTCTCTCACCTACTGTTCAAAGAGGCAGCAATTAATTCTTCTTCTGAAGAGTTTGCTGTACTAAGTGTCTGTCAAATTGATGCCTTCAACTCAAGATAGCACATACTTCTTAGTTACGAATTTCTCACAGGAGATTTTCAAGCGTGCCCATAAATCTCATCACTGTTTGGGAGAAGGTTTTCTCATCTGTACCAGACTAGTCACGTCATTTGCTATTGAATGCTGGTGGTAATCTAGTCAGAACAGGATCCTGTGCTTCACTAATTTTCCCTTTTTGTTGTTGGGGGTGACTTCTTACCAGGGATGTTATTCTTGACACCCCAGGGCAAATGGAGGTATTCGCATGGTCAGCGTCAGGAACCATCCTACCCGAGGCCTTGGTGAGTGCTTTTTGTATGACTGGACAGTGAAGCTGTCTGTGTGAATGACCTGGCTATTGCTCAGTGTACTCCTCATTAAATGTCTTTTGCTCTGTGTTCCCAGGCTTCCTCTTTTCCTTCGGTTGCTGTGTGTGTGCCGGACACCTCTGGCAGGACTAACCCTATGGCTTTTCTGTCCAACGTGCTGTATGCCTACAGGTAAGAAAAGCTGGAAGTGCAGTCCCTCTGCTTTGATCGCTTTGTCTCTTTGGTAGTTATTTTGGAGGGGAATCATAGAGTGATTTGGTTTGAAGGGGACCTTTAAAGGCCACCCTGTCTTCCGTGGGCAGGGACACCTTCCACTGTCCCCGGTTGCTCCAAGTCCCATCCAGCCTGGCCTGGAACACTGCCAGGGATGGGGCAGCCTCAGCTTCCCTGTGGAGTGTGCTCTAATATCTCTCCACTGCCATCACAAAAAATTTTGTCAGTATGTCCCTTTCAGTTGAAAACCATTATCCCTTGTCCTATCACTACAAGCCCTGGTAAAAACTCTCTCTCCATTTTTCTTATAAATCCCTTTATTTACTGGAAGGCTGCAGTAAAACTTCCCTGAAGTCTTCTCCAGGCAGAACAACCCCAACTTCCTGGCCTGTCTCCATAGGAGAGGCCTTCTAGTTCTCTGATGGTTTTGGTGACCTCCTCTGGGCCCACTCTGCCGGGTCCATATCTGCCGTGGTTCCCAGAGGTGGACGCAGCGCTCCAGGTGGGATGAGAGCGGAGTACAAAGGGAGAATCATCCTCCTCGCCCTGCTGCCCCTGCTGGTTTGGATGCAGCCCAGGGGATGGTTGGATTTGTGCTTGTAAGTGCACTTGGATGCCTCCTATCCACTTAGTCTGCTGGTTTGGTTATTCTCTTAGTGGTTTTCCCATTGGATAAGCAGAATAATTTAGGTGCCAATGGACATCTGGAAGTCATTGGGTCAAAACTTAGCATTAAATAATCCATGAGACCTTAGCGTGAGGAAGGCTGGTTATATTAGATCTAACATATTGCCTATTGCTTATAAACCCAGTTATCTAAGATGAATCAAGGTAGGCTAGTTTAAGCTCCTTCTTGTAAATACAGAGTATTTTATTCTATTTTTTAATGTTGTTGATACTTTTAAGAGATTCTTCAGAATTTGTTTGGAGTTCAGCATAGCACGGAACTCTTGATTTATTGTCTTCTTCTTTGTACATGAATTTATCTGTTGTCTTTCATGTCATCCCAGAGACTAAATACCTATGGAACCATCAACATAGCTAGAGCTCTCATAATTCATGGTAAATGTTGGTAAAAGGTTTTCAAAAAACCTCTCAATCCTTGTACCAAGGTCAAGAGCTATATCACCACGATAGGAGTGTGCAAACTGTGTCTTACTGCATATTGCGTTTTCTGACATTAGTTTGAGAAAAAGATCGTAGAATATATACAGTGAAATGAATATGTCAGCTCATGTGTCAAAGTAATTTTGCTTTATAGATGTTCTGTGTTATTTGAATTCATTGCTCAGTTCACAAATAATCTCTCAGAACCTAAGGTTTGAGTCAAATGTAAAATGCATGGAGAGTTAAAAACTGGGATCTTAGCATCATAGCAAATGGTAACCAAACTTGACTGGGTGTGTAGGAGATTTTATATCTTACATCTTGGAGGAGCATATTTTGTTCGACGATTGTAAGCAGGACCTGGGTGAAAATTACATTCTATTAGGTGCACAGGAAAATAATTATCCTTTGAAGTCAAATGTATTCAGTTTTGCACAAGTCTTGTCTGCCTTATGTTTGAATTGCTTTCTATTCTAGGAAGTTTTAAATTAAACTTTTATTTTGTGTCTCTCCCCCAGTATCCTGTACAAGACAAAGCTACCTTTCGTTGTAGTCATGACGAAAGTCAGTTAAAGCTCTGGTTTCTGTGTCCTCATGGGACATTGTTCTGTTTAGCTTCTTTGCTATGGTGTCTTTGTCTTACCACAATAATAGAATTTTCTAGAAAAGAGAGGCTGGGAGGGAGCTGCAGGCTGATAACTGAATGTAAAAAGGATCTTTAATCTGGTATCCAAGTGCACAAGAATAATCAGGGATGGGCAGTTGCACCCAAATGTTCAAATCAGAGACAGTGCTAACAATTTGAAACGTGTTTTGCAGCTTAAGCCTGGATGAAAGGGAAACGTAACTCTGTAAAAAAAGGGTAAGGTCATGCCAGAATCTGTGCTTACACGCCCAGTTTTCCCAGAATATTTGTCTTCATTAATAATGATTTCCCCTCAGCAGCAGACTGATGACTCGCAGTGGCAATGGTGTAACCCCTGCCTGTTTTGACTGAGGAGTCTCACCTGTTGTAGCAGGCAAAACCTAGAAAAGATGTTTGGTGCAGTATTTGCTAGAGAGCAGATACTTACTAGTCTAAGAATACACATCCACTGTTGTGTAAGGAACTTGTAGCCTTAATGCTTTTGAGCTTAACAGCCATATCATTAAACGTGATAATTTCAGATAGTAAAAGAATTCTGTTAGATTTTTGATGTAACTGTTCTCCACAGGCATCCTTTGTGTTTGTATCCTCAACTCAGCAAGCTTTGTGTGTGCACACACATATGCATGCTTTGACTGGGATATTTTCCCTCCCACCAGCCCAGTAGGATTAGTGTCTGCTGTGCTCCAACTCCACCCATCTGCCCTGTGACCCAAACCATGCGTATCTTTGGTATCTGCTTGCTTACTGAGCAACTTTTTGTACACTGTTTTCTTTCTGACTCTAGACAGTAATATTAGAATAAGCTTTCTAGCTTTTGATTTCTGTAGAAAAGGCATGAGGTAGGAAAATAAGTCTCTCTGAAGAAAATATGCTTTTTGAAAGACTAAAAGAAGTGGCACTGTGTGTGTAAGGAAAGGTAGGCCTGAGGCTTAGGATTCATAACTTTAAACTTCATTTTGATCTCATGTTTAGCTTTTGCTAAAAAGTAAAGCCAATAGCATTGGAAGAATTTTTCACAAAATTTAATTAAATTTAATTTTTAAAAATTGACTCTTGATAAGAATGGAAGAACCCCGGGGAACTGGGATATATGTGCAGTGACAAACCCATAGATGTAAAGAATTTTAAGATTTGGAGAGGGAAAAAAGTAATGCGTGGAGGTGATTTAATTTTCTTTACCGAATTAATTCAAGGTAACTTTAAGTAGTCAGGCTTTGACCCTTGGTGGATTCAGTTCCATCTCAAATCTCTTGAGTAATGCTAGGTAATACTTCATCTATCTTCCTCCTTCCCATTGGTGAGGGGAATTAAATATATCAGAGTTTTAGGCACCTCATATTGTGCGAAGAGTGGATATGCATGTGGCAAGATGTTTATGAAACTCTGTAATACGCTGTTTTCATATGAATCCATGTAAAATTGTGGAACCATCTCACCTGTTTGTGTCAGTTGTATTGCACTGAGTTTAGTTCATAACTTCTTTGGGCCAGAACACAGCTCACTTTCATAAAGATCCCGTGGGGTTACCCAGCATGGAAGTGGCCCTCACTCCCCCGGCCCCCAGGCAATCAGGAAAGCTGGGGATCTTCAATGAGGGTTGTTCTTGTCTGGCCTCAATCGTATGATCTACTATTTACACCTTAAACTTCATTGTGCAGTATGCAATTTCTGGATGCCCCTTTCCAGTAAAACCATAGGAGGCTTTAGAGTTGCAATTGTTTCCTTAAACAACTGTTGCCTTCCTAAACCTGGAGAAGTGGTTGTTTGTCTTCTCTTTCTGTATTCACATAGTTGATTTGATAAAAAGTGAACTTGCAAAACTTCAGACCAGGGCTGAATATTTTTAAAAGATCAACATTTTAAAAATAAATTTAACATGGATTTTTTTTCATTTGTCCACTTAACAGCCTAAGGGTAAGATTGTTACTTCTGAATATTTTCCCTTCTCCTTCCAGACTGACATAATTGACCACAGTTTTGCAGTGGAATGGATGCAGGACTTTGAGAATTCTCAGGATGTCCTGAATCAAGAGACCTCCTATGTCAGTAACCTGACTTGTTCTATGAGTTAAGTGTTGGATGAATTTTACAGTTCATTGAAGGTAAATTTTTATTACCTCTCCTAAAAGCCTGGAGAAGAGAAAGTTCAAGGAGAATATTTTTGATGCGTATAAATGCCTGTAGGAGGGTGTAAGGAAGGCAAGCAGCAGACTCTGTTCACTGGTGCGTGGGGAAAGGACAAGAGACAACAGACACAAGGTGAAATACAGGAAACTATGTTTAAACGGAAGAGAAGAAAAAATGCTTTAATTTTACTAATTCTGCACTTCAACAGATGGTCCAGAGAAATTGTGGCGTCTCCATCCTTGGAGATGCTTAAAACACTTTTGCTCAGGCAAAGTCGTGAGCAACCTATTCTACCTAATCCCGCTTTTTGAGCAGGAGAGATTGGACTAGATGATCTCCAGAGGTATTGTCCACCCCTCACCATTCTGTCCTTCTGTAAAGGGGCTTTGCACTGCCCTTTTGAACTGTAATCTGTTGATGACCTGTGTTGAGGATTTGCTGATTTGAACGTACAATAACTTTAGCAGCTTGTCACACTGAATTGCAGCCTGAATAATTTAATATTGAACTGTGATTAATCACAAGATGAAAGCTAAGATAGGCTGGTAAGAGGCAGTGTTCTTTGCTGCAGCATTTCCCACCTGAGGTAATTTTCCTTGTTCTGAAAGTGTCAAGTACAGTTGGGCAATGTACTACATAGGAAGAAGGGAAAGAATCTGAAAAACAAATAAATGAACAAAAAAACCCCTTTATATTTGCTTATGCAAGAAGAAGATTGTTCTTCCACTCAACCAGGTTTTGAGAGGACAAATTAATTGTTTATCTGACAACACTATACATTGGAGGCTGTTAATGATCCCATAGTCTGTGCTAAAGGTTTTAGCTGATTGTGTTTTTCATCAGCTTTTAATAAAGAAAAAGCAAGCCTTCTTGGCTGTGTGGATATTACAGGAACAAAATTATTCCATTCATGTAGATAATGATAACAGAGCCAAAACAAAAATATTGTTAAGTGTCCTATGTGGAACAATATACAGAATTTCAAAAGGGATTGTAGTGGTCCCATATACAGAACTAACATTCTTCCTGTTCTTTATTTGCTGATCACGTCATATTTCTCTGCCTGTCAGAACTGATAGAGCACTGGATGGAGAGCAGGTCATATGAAGAGGATTACGGAGTCAAAGGCAGCTTGTACTTAAGTGCAGGGAAAGTATAAATATTTATATATATTGGCACAGTGCCTAGCCCTAATGCTTAAAATCCTTTGGAGAGCTGTCTGCATATTTACTGTATTAATGATCAAATGCAAGGCTGTGTTGGGAAAGGTCTTCCATTTGGAAGTCAGTAGTTGAGACTGTCTTGCCTATGAAAAAGAGGGAGAATTTTCATTAGAGGTTGTATGATTCTGGCTGGTAATAGTCTTAATTCAAGGTATTTTTAGATAATTGATTTAATACAAGCAGAACAAAT